GGTCCAGTGGTTAAGACTTCGCCTTCCAGTGCAGATGGTGCGGGTTCATTCCCTGGCCGGGGAGCTAAGATCCCACATGCCTCACGGCCAAAAAACCAAAACATAAAACAGCACAACATTGTAAGAAACTCAGTAAAGACTTGAAAAATGGTCCACATCAAAAAATCTTAAAAAAAAACAAAACCTGTGTGTCTTTAATAAGAGCAGTTGACTATTCTTGTCTGCCCACAAATCTTTCTCCTTCTGGCTTCCCAGGCACTGAATCTCTCATAATTAGTGTTACTCATGTGGAATGAGGCACCCTGTCCCCAACAAGCTCCTAAAATAGTGAAAATTCTTTCATTATTGTTCATCAACATCTGTAAGTACAAATTGGCTTATCGTACTCTCTAGACAGTCAGTTAGAAAGCTCAAAGGAAATGGGACAATGAACAAGTAAGTTCTGATGGGGGAGTTAGCAGCGGAAAGTTCACCGAGGGAGCAGAAGTGTAGGACTGCCAGGGAGCAGCTATTGGCCACGTCTCTCCATCTGGCATTTGTTTTCACTTAGGACGTGAGATAAGGCTATCACTTAAAAAAAAAGCAGCAAACAAACTGTCCTAGTCCCATTTTTGAATAAACCAAATTACACTCACTTATTCAAAATAATTTCCTATTATATTAAATTATACACACACATACATTCACACACATAAAATGAGGTCTACTCCAAGGTGTATGTTCTCGTTCATGGACTATGGCTTTGCATAGTTCCATCTTTACATTATCCAATCCTATTTTAAATGCCTCTATAGAGTTTTCTAGCTTTGTACGTTCTTTGTTAAGCTAATTTTTCAGGCTTTTTAAAAATTATGAATGAAATCTTTCATTCATGTTTTCTAATTATTATTTGAAATGGGGGCAGCTACTGATTATTACCTATTAACTATTTTTTTAAATAAACAAATAAATGTATTTATTTATTTTTGGCCGCGTTGGGTCTTTGTTGCTGTGCGCGGGCTTCCTCTAGTTGCGGCGAGCTGGGGCTACTCTTCGTTGCTGTGCATGGGCGTCTCATTGCAGTGGCTTCTCTTGTTGCGGAGCACGGGCTCTAGGCACGTGGGCTTCAGTAGTTGTGGCTTGCAGGCTCAGTAGTTGTAGCTCACGGGCTCTAGAGCGCAGGCTCAGTAGTTGTGGAGCACAGGCTTAGTTGCTCTGCGGCATGAGGGATCTTCCCAGACCCGTGTCCCCTACATTGGCAGGCGGATTCTGAACCACCGTGCCACTAGGGAAGTCCCTACCTATTAACTTTTTACAGACTGATTTACTTTGCTTGTAGCTTTTCAGTTCTTTTGAATTTTCCCAAGTATACAGTCATATCACATGCAGATTCTACCTTCTATATATTTTATTTCATTCTCATATGTAATTACATTTGCTGGCACATTCTGAACAATGTTAAATAAAACGGGGACAGTGGGCATCTTTGGTGTATTCCCGATATTAAGAGAAATGCTCCTGTTTTTCATCATTAGCTAACTTTTGGTTTGAGCTATTTAGCATAACATCAAGAATCCATCTCGTTCTGTTTTCTAATGGATTTTAAACATCAGAAATAAGTGCAAAATTCTGTCAATCACTTCTCAGTGTCTATGAGATGATAACATTTTTCTCCTTCGACCTGTGAAGATGAACCAACCGTCCTTGCATTCTCATAGGTAAATGTTAATGGTATCTGTTCTTCTTAATATTACTTATTTTCCAAATTATCTTGGCTTATCTTGCATACTTATTCTTCCAGAGGAAACCCAAAGTATAATTTTTAAGAACCAGAACACCACTGAAATTAAAAGTTTATCTCTTTTTCATTGTAAGGATATACAATATGGGCTGATTTAAACAGAAAATTAGGAGACAATCATTTACCTAACCAGAATTACCTTAATTAGAGGTTCAGCTTTGAACTAACAGATTACCTCTGGTACATGTCAATGTTTATAGACAGACCACTCAGTATTTAGGAGGTGGGATAAAAAACTGACTACTGAAAATGAAACATAAAACAAAAACAATAAAAAATGAATTAGAATTTGTCTTTCTCTGTCTGACTTAACTTCACTAAGTATAATGTTCTTTAGGTCCATCCACATTGCTGCAAATGGCAATATTTCATTCTTTTTTTTAATATATCACTTACATGTGAAATCTAAAAAACAATACAGAAGAATGTATATGCAAAAACAGAAACAGGCTCACAGACAGAAAACAAACTTGTGGTTACCAGAGGGAGAGAGGGAGGGAAGGAGGGACAAATTAGGAGTATGGGATTAACAGATACAAACTACTGTACATAAAATAGAATAAGCAACAAGGATTTACTGTACAGCCCAGGGAATTATATGCAACATTTTGTAATAACCTATAATGGAATATAATCTGAAAAAAAACTGAATCACTTTGCTGTATACCTGAAACGAACACAATATTGTAAATCAACTACACTTCAATAAGAAAACAATAGCAAATTGAGTATTAGATTGCACAATATATAGCTCAGTAGATGCTCTTTTTCCCAATGTAGATCAGGATTTTTGACGATAATTTTAAAATGAGGGTCTTGCAAATGTTATGTCTTTCTCTCCTCCACTAATACACTATCCTTCAACATATAGCTTAAAATGCCTTAAGAATAGGCTGTTTAATTACTTACTGTATTAATTAAATTAATTAATAATACATCTTAAATAGACTTAGAAGTTTCCTAAGGATAGTATATAATCAACATGTTTATTGCTGCTGGTGATAAAAATGTCACAGTGGTTTTCTGCAACTTGCTTCAGTGTTCTATTGTTTTGTCCTATTGCATGTTTAGAAAAATGATCAAACCTGCTCTATCTAAACTTTTAAAATATGTCTTTGATTAAATCATCAACAATGACAATGAATTAGTAATAATGGTGATAAAAGTAATATATAAACATTTAATGAGTGCATACTATATTTCCAGTACTGTGCTTAGGTCCTTTACATCTTTTATTTCAAGTCAGCCACAGTCCTGCTACGGAGGGATTGTGAGCTCCACTTTTTAAAGATAAGGAAGCCAAAGCGAAGAAATGTTAAGTATTTTCCAAGATCACATTTATTTAATCATAAGTCTATCTGACTTCACATGCCACGATTTTTCCCACAAAATATACATGAATTAAGATGATGTGAGCAGAGGTAAATACAGTATAGTAGCCAATCAATTTCCAATTTCTTTCCATAGTAAAAAATCAGAAGTTACTCATTTTTCTCTTATTTTTAGTAGTTTAATTTTTTGCAAAAGCAGAAAAAGAGAATGTTATAGGACTTTAAAAAATGAATTAGACTAGTGGAATTGCTATTGCTATAGCTCAAAAATTACAATGTAAGATAAAAAGATCAAATTTAAACCCACATTTTAAAATATGCATCTACTGCGTAAAGCTAAGCACCTACACACTATAACGAAAATGTGATATTTTTAAGCAATAGCTCTTTTATATATTAGAACGATATGTACTTCCTTGATTCTATGATGTATTTTTTTTTATATTTCAGAATCTCTGAAATTGATGCAACGAGAATCTATAATGATCATGTTTAATTCTCCAGTTAAACTTGTTTTCTTTCTTTGTGATGCACGAAATAAAGTAAGCTGAAAATTCATGGTATCTTAGATTTGTTGAAATATAGCAAATATCTGTTTTAAGGGTTATACAAAACAGCTTTATCGCCCTACTTCTACGTCCAATACATATCCTGTTTTTAAAAAATGCTATTACTATTTGTGAATCTTTAAAAAAGAAACTAATTCAATTTTAGTTTAGATTTAAGGCATTTGCGAACTTTAGTATTTACTCTAGGATGATCAGAGATAGCCCAGGGAGTTGCAGACTAGAGGTTGAGATGTATGAGCGGATGCAAGAACCCATGCAGATGTGCACGCAAGTATGCAATGTATACAGATGTGCATGCACTGGAGTCACAGGATTCTACCCGGTTCTTGGATAGAAGTAAAATAATTGCAAGGCTGCAGAATTCTCAAGTGACTTTATCCAGGAAAGTAAAACAGGCAGTTATTACAGGGTTTCTCAATTGAGGCTGTCGGTGTAGAGAAGTCATCCATCTTCTCTGTCCCCATCTCCTCCCTTCTCACCCAGCTCTCCCGGAGAACGAAAAATGGACAGAGAATTTCCATCTCACCCGCCACACCAATTCTTGCTCTACTCGCTTTACCCCCTCACTTCGGATGACAACAGTGGACCAGCTATAGTTATTCTCAACAGAGACCTGGATCCACAGATGTGGAATAGAGGTTCCTACCATTGTAAAACCAAATATAAAGGAAGTAGCCAGCAGAGAATCCTGTGAGCTAAAGGAATGTCTTCTAAGGCTGGGAATTCAAACTAGCAAACTGACCCACTGACTACCACAAACCGTGTTTGTCCTCCTTCCAAGTGTGAATGTAAATCCCTCCTCTAAAATAAGAGAAGAAAAGAAAAGAAAGAAAGGAAGGAAGGAAGGAAGGAAGGAAGGAAGGAAGGAAGGAGGGAAGGAAGGAAGGAAGGAAGGAAGAAGGAAGGAAGGAGGGAAGGAAGGAAGGAAGGAAGGAAGGAGGGAAGGAAGGAAGGAAGGAAGAAAGAAAGAAAGAAAGAAAGAAAAAGAAAAGAAAGAAAGGGAGAGAGAGAGGGAGGGAGGGATGGAGGGAGGAAGGAAGGAAGAAAGAAAAGAAGGAAAGAAAGAAAGGAAGAAAAGGAAGGAAGGAAGGAAGAAAGAAAGAAAGGAAGGAAAGAAAAGAATATTTGCATGAATGGTGCTGGTCACCAAAACTAACCACTACCAAATTCAAAAGAATTCTGCTAATCCCGCAAAAAATTCTCTTTAGCTCTTTTACAAATTATTAAAATAAAAAAAAAGTCAACAGCACTTAGCCAGTTTTAATTTTCAATATTAGGAGAGTCAGTGAGGGCCCTTGACTTATCTCAATGTGGACTCACCTTCTGCACAGCTGCTTGAAAGGCCTGTTTAATTCTCTTACACGAATCAGGTACTAATTTTGAGTCTTGACTCTCCAGAGTTGTGTCTTGTAAATCCGTGTTTTCATGGAGTTTGAAAATTCTATTAATGCAGTGAGTGTCATCTTCTGATATTCTATTAGGATCCATCTGAGGGGGGAAAAATGTGAGGACGTCAGAGTGGTTATCACTGATCATTCTGTTATTTAATAAAGTGTGACTGAAGGACAAAAGAATTCATTCTTGCAAGAGTCATTATGTCCCCAACAACTAATAGTTAATACAATTACCATCGAGTTGGTGAAAAATTGACTTCTAATTCATTTTTATGAGTAGCTGACTACCATCCACAACACACCTGTACACATGTGATTCATGGGGAAATTATCAAAATCGTCTGACATTGTAAAAGTGCTCACTGAGGGGAGGGGAATCAAAGAAATTATATGTGTTCAGTACAGGGAGAGACAGCCTTTCATCTTTAAGTACCCCCCCACCCCATGCAGCATGCTATGTGGGATTATGAAGCCCACTTGGATATTCAAAGCATGAAACCTATATAAATCAGGTGAAATTAACATCATGTTCAGCTGCCATGTTTGCCTGGCCTTTTCCCTTAATCAATGTGGTTTTTTTGTTGTTTGTTTTGTTTTTTTGTGGTACGGGGGCCTCTCACTGCTGTGGCCTCTCCCGTTGCGGAGCACAGGCTCCGGACGCGCAGGCTCAGCTGCCGTGGCTCACGGGCCCAGCCGCTCCGCAGCATGTGGGATCTTCCCGGACCGGGGCACGAACCCGTGTCCCCTGCATCGGCAGGCGGACTCTCAACCACTGCGCCACCAGGGAAGCCCCAATGTGTGTTTTAATCAGCTGAAGAAGGGAGGGAGAAATCCATTTCCTAGCCCCAAAGAAAATCTGAAGCCAGAAGCATAATTTCCCTTTTTGTTGAACCTCTCACCAGTTTTCTTAACCTGGAGTGGTACGTCTGTCAGAGGGGGCCTGAGAATGTGTGGTGATATTTGGTGTGAGCTGGGATGAGGAGGGCGCATGGTGTGAACCATCTCTATGGATACATGCTGAGGGGATGCTAAAATTCTTGTAGTGTACTGGATAGTCCCACCCAAAATATCCCCATTAAGTTATTAGCTGGTCCCCTGGTTAAAACAGGTGCCAGCATAAGCATTTCTTTAAGTATTACTCTCTTCTTAAAATTGTCTGCCAGCTCCTCCTGGGGCTCCTACAAGCCTTTGTAGTGGTTTCAACTGCCAAGTACATAGTAGAGGTAATTCGCTACCTGATTGTTTGAATTGGTTTAATTTTTAAGTGGTTTAATTTATTGTCCTCTTCTTTCAAAAAAATGTGCATTTGCTTATGACTAGGTACAGGCTAGATGAAAAAAAGGGAAAATTATGTAAGTTTCCAATAACCAAAGCCCAGTCAATTAATATCAAGTCTCTCGTTCCCTGGTTTAATCATCTTTCTGAAAGTCATCAGATGTGCAGGTTTATTAACCAGCTGTCAGAAGTAAGCGAAGAAAGTACCCTATCCATACCTGAGATTCTCAAAATGAAATAATAGCCTTTCAACAAATGTGTACCCACTAATACAAATTTTATCATTCCACTTTTGCACGGTGTGACTCAGAAAGCAAAACTATTTGCAATCCAAGTTTACTTTTTATTTCTTTAAAATAATTAGTATGAATCAGAATATCTGAGATTTTATATAAGGCAAGTGTTCAATTCCATACTTTTTAAAAAAAGCTCACTTATACCAATAAGTTTCACAAAAAACCAGAGAAGCCTGGACAACTGATATGAAGAGTCGTTGGGCTCAGACCTCAAGAAAGAAGAATCCTGCAAAGGCCTCAGCTGGCTCACCACCAGAAAGCCGCTGAGCTAAAGGAACAGTGTGATATTAGTGGGGAAATGCCTGGGTACCCTAACATTGGTTAAGCTCCAGTCCCGCTGACAAGCTAAGTGCCATCAACAGAAGCAGCAGTACCGGCGACTCTTGCTATGGAAACTATAGTCCAATCACTTGCAGCGTTACAGGCTCACCCAGAATTTGTTAGAAATGCAGACACTCAGGCGCCACCCCAGGTAGTGCCTGTGAATCTGCATTCTAACTAGATCCCAGGTGATTCTGATGCACGTTAGAGTTTGAGAAGTAATGCTTTCAAATACCAAAGATACAAATATCAATTGTCTGCTATTAAAATGTCTCCAAATTTCTTTGGACACCAATTTTAAATTTTTTTCAGAAGTAATACCAATTAGTATTAATACAAAATTACTGAAATGGTCAATAATGGCTAAGGGTTTAATGCAAAGAAATATAATGCAAAGATTTTTGTCTCTTCTCTCTTAAAAATATGTCCATGCCCAGGTCCCACCCTTGGCCAATTTAATCAATATCCCTAAGGGGAGGGGTCAACTGAGTCTCTCTCCCCAAGTGTTTCTAATGTGTAGGTGAGAACCACTGTTTCAGAAAGTCACATTAGAGCTAAAACATATATAAAATGTCACCAATTGTTTTCTCAAATGATATACTCACTTATTTTGTTTATTTAAGGGCCATATGTTAGAATTTTATTTTTATTATTTTTAAAAATTTATTTTATTGACGTATAGCTGATTTACAATGTTGTATTAGTTTCTGGTGTACAGAAAAGTGATTCAGTTATACATATACATAACAGTTTGCATCTGCTAATCCCAAACTCCCACTCCATCCCTCCCCAACCCTGCCCACCCTCTTGGCAACCACAAGTCTGTTCTCTGTGTCTGAGTCTATTTCTGTTTCGTAAATAAGTTCATCTGTGTCATATTTTAGATTCCACATATAAGTGATATCATATGGTATCTGTCTTTCTCTGACTCACTTCACTTAGTATGATAATCTCTAGGTCCATCCATGTTGCTGCAAATAGCATTATTTCATTCTTTTTTATGGCTGAGTAATATTCCACTGTGTATATGTACCACATCTTCTTTATCTATTCATCTGTCAGTGGACATTTAGGTTGTTTCCATGTCTTGGCTAATGTGAATAGTGCTGCTATGAACATAGGGGTGCATGTGTCTTAGAAATTTATTTTTAACCTGCAAGCGAATGTCTTTCTTATTCCAGTGCCCTTGCAGCTCTCCTTTCCTGAAGATGGAGACCAGGAGAAAGGGTGGCGTAGAGGTGCAGGGGTGCAGGGCCAGCAACACACACAGGCAAATGATGGCCTCTGCTCCTGTGGTCTCAGCACTGCAGGAGCTGCAGGGCAGGGCGTCGGACTGATGCTGGACCCTCCACATTACTCACCGAGCGGCTGGACAAATGTAACCTCTCCCCTAACAACCCATCCCCTGACACAGCAGTCTGGATAGAAAATTTACATGATGGAAAAATTGCACTTTTTAGTCTATTTTAGCTACTAACGAGATCATTTACACATTAAAAATTAGAAAAAGGTATATTTCTAGTGCTGCAAATCATCTGAAAAGCTTTTTCAGTAAATTCAACATGCAAAGCCCTAGGCTGGATGCTGTAAAGAAGGTAGTGAGCAAAACAGGCAGTCCTAACTTTCAAGGAACTTAAACTCGACACAGGAACGAAGAAACTCATCCAAAAATCACAGTAAAAAAAAAAAAAAATCAAAGTAAATGAATTCATTGTACCTAGAAATGACTGAAAATATTAAGTGAATCTTGAATATCTGATTTAAACTGGACTTCAAAAATACAGTGATCAGATAATGTAGTTCATGTGAAAGGAACTCAATCTTTAAAAAAAAAAAAAAAAACTTCCTTGAAACTTAATCATCTGTAGGGTTAAATGAGGCAGGATGCTAGACGTTTGTGCTACTTTGTTTTCTGTTTTTTTCAAGCAGGCAGCCTACACACCTCCATATCAGATTTTCGGTTCTCCTGTTTGGGTAACAAACAGCCCAGGGAGGTTGGTGTGTATATTGGGGGTTTGGCGGAAGGGGTTAAAAGGGGACAGAGATTGAGTTTCCTGAAAAGCTTATCTTGTAGCTAAGCTGTAAACTTTGGTCATATGGATGCTTAAAAAAAAAGGGCACATAAATTTTAAAAGCAACTTTTTGTAAGGGTTTTTTTTTCTTTGTAAACCAAAGTATGAATACTATGTGGTAAATATATAGCACAAGCCACACGCTATTTTTTCTTTGGCAAGGTTGGTAGGGGAAAAGCTAATCTACACTGGATCTAGTACTTTTTTTTTTTCCTTAATCTAGGCACAAGCAATCTACAAACATTCAGGAGGCTGATTCACATTTAGGTATTCAAACATGAGTGGAGCAGGGGAAAATTTTTTGTCACTATCATTTTTACATTATTTGTAAAATACAAATAATAATTACATTATTACATTAAAATGCATTTAAGACTAAATTGAATTGTTTTTTCCTGAGGATTTTCATGGCTCCCCCCTCCCATCTTCAAACAAAAACAATAAAACTGGCTCCTTTTCTTTTCTTTTCTTTTTTTAACTGTTAACTGCAAACATATTACCTGATATTAGATGATTTCATTCTAGTTCAAACACATTCAGAAGCCCCAAGTAGTTGACCCACAAATTTAGTGGAAATCAAAAAACTATCTCTTATTTGGTACCAAGTTCTAATCCAAGGAAGCTGATATAAGTGAAAATGTTAAATCGGTGTCAGGTCAAACTGAATCTACTCTCTCAACTAGAACTTTGAAAGAAGGCTTCCAGCATATGTAAAAGTGGAAAGAATTGTAAACTTGTAGAACCTCCAGGTACCCATCACCGAGCTTCAGCAATTACCAGCGCATGGCCAATCTTGTTTCATCTATAAGCAACCACTTCCCTGTTCCCCAGGCTCCCCACGTATTATTTTGCAACAAATTCCAAACATCTTATTTCATTTGTACCTACTTCCGAATGTATCTCTAAATGATTAGGACCCCTCTCAGTATTAACTGTAGATACCATACTCAGCTCCTGGGGCGCGCGGGCTAGCGAGGAGGGTGCCGGCCGCCCCAACTCTTATAACCACATCTCGTGGAGCATCCTCCTATGAAAACATTGTTACTTCTTAACTGAAGGAGATAACCTTTTAAAAATGTAATACACAGTTGGGTTCAGAGTAATGGTTAATACATATTGGCATAAGTCTTGGAGAAGCCCAATCTTCATGGCATTTAGGAAAACTGTACCCAGAAATTCGATGACATTAAATTCTCCATCTGAAAATTTTCTATCCATGTGACATCAAGATTGCTAGATGATCATCAGAAAGCTAGAATCCTCAGCCCACCAGGCCATTAATATTGAGAATCTCTACAAAGAAGCTGAACACTTTCTTCAACAGCCCAACAGGTCATTCTCTCCTACATGGTCACGCCGATTTCCATGGTTCCTGCCAATCTAAGCTGTTCCTGGTCCCTAGAACTCATTCGTTCCCTACTGCTCTTTCAGTGCTGAATACTCACTTCACTACTACCGCTATGAAAATGCCATAACTCCAAGTTGTTAGAAAAGATAAAAGAGAACTACTGAATCTTCTGTCCCTTTTCTGAATGCTTCTCTCTTCTTTGACTAAGAATTTAAAGTCTTTTGTTATAGGCCCCTTCATTACCTGGCATTATGCAATGCACACAGTAGGTGGACATGGTATGTTGAATAAATGATTCTTAATTCATATTCCATACCATTTAATAGTGTCATGTGCAGTGCAGGCACTCAATATACAAACATTAAATGGTGGGGTGGGGCAGGGGGAGGAGGGGGACAGGACCACATGCTGGATGAGAAAATGGATAAATCATTCTTGGCTGTAGCATACTCCAATGAAAGAAAAATGTCTCATCACTTTCATATAGATTTGTGTAATCTATGTTGCAAGTAAACCACTTGAAAGTTGTGTTTTTAGAAAAACTTCCTCTCAATAGGAAAAGACTATTTTTATTAACATACAAATACAAATTTTCTAAAGCACTGCACATAGTATGTCTACCTTTTAGTAGATAAACTAGTTCTATAAAATGCAAATTAGTGGGTACTGAATATTTAACAAAAAGCCTATGATTACAAGTAATGGAGTTCAAGACCCTGGCACACGTCAAAATCTCATACAGCCCAGGCAATGCCTTGTTCTGATGCATTCAATTTGGTTTGGTAATCACCTTTGAATCTGAAAACCAATGAAGTCCAGACCCAAGTCTCTTTTCCCATAAAAAAAAAAAAAAAAAAATGCACAGTCAGCCCCCCACTTCCTTTGAGAAAGAGTTCACAGCACCAGACAAGAATACTTGAATGAATCCAACCAACTGCACTGCAATTTCCAAGAATACACAAGAGCATAAACCACCAGAAAGCATAAGGTTACAAATTTACCCCTTCCTTTCTACTATCTCTCTGCCGTTCCTAACCGGCTTCCTCACCTTTGAAAAGCTGGTTACTTGCTAGATCGTCGCTAGGCTGTGCCGGGGGAGAGAACACCTCCACACACACTTTGCTTCCTTCCTCCGCCCACTTAGTGGGAAGGCACGAGGGCCTTTCTTTCTTCTCTCATTCCGCGCGAGCGGAGCCCAGGTCCTGAGACCAGGCTTACTCTGGCCGCGCTATGTTTTTCGGTCCATCTGGCGACTTGGGCATCGCCCCCGGGGCTCCAGCGGCTTCCGGCAGCGCACGCACTGCGCGGTGCAAAACAACCAACCCCAGGACCCCAAATCCTCCCGGGGGTGGGTGGGAAGGGAAAGGGTCGATTCCCAGCGGTAGGCGCTCAATTGTTTTTCCTGAGTGGACCTAAGTTCATTCTTTGCTTCAAGTGGGAAGTGGAAGCACAGGAAAGTGTGCAGTCGTTTCCCGAAGAGGTGAGCGGCCAATGCGGTCTCGCCGGGGGAAATTCAAACGCACCAGGCCGGGCGAGCTTAGCTTCGGCGCGCAGGGGGCCGGGTGCGTGCGCGAGGACCAGAGGCCAGCGCGCCGGGCCCCGCGCCTGGCTGTGCCCCAGCCGGACGTTCCCTTTTTAGGGTCACTTTCCCCTCCCCAGATATGCAAGCTCTGGGGAGTCAAGCCGGGGGACTAGACTCCATCGCCTGCAAAGTGCTGGAGGATGAAGGCGGGTGCGCCCCGCCCGCGCGCCCCTGGGAGGCGAGCACTCACCTGCGCTCGGAAGTAAAGGAACAGGGCGACGCTGCACGCGACCTGGCCCAGCCCCAGCCCCAGCAGGGCCACGAACGTGGAGCGGGAGGCAGCGGCGGAATGGTGCGGGGCGGGCTGCGCGGGTGGCGGCGGCGGGGCGTGCAGGGCGCCCTCGTGCGGGGCGCCGGAGCCGCCGCTGCCCATCTCCTCGGAGGCGCGCAGGTACTTGGTGTAGTCTCGGCTGGCGCGGCGCATGGCGCTCGGCCCGCCTCGCTCCGGCGCTCGCCTCCCTCCGGGGCTGTTCTGCCGGCGGCCAAGTGCAAAGGCGGCGCAGAGCCGGCGCGCGGCCAGGCGGGCCTCGACGTAGGGGCGCTCAGAGCCGGGCGCTGCTCCTGGGGCGCGCGGGCTAGCGAGGAGGGTACCGGCCGCCCCAACTCTTATAAACCGCTTCGGGAGGGCTGGCCCCGGGAACCAATCAGCCCCGGCCGAGCCTGCCTCTTCCACTCCCACCCCTGGCTCCCCTTCCTTCCTTTCGCCCTCCCTCCCTTACTCTCTCCCTGAAAGGCCTCCTCCCTCCCCATCGGGGCCCTCGGAGGAGGAGGCTGTGGGTTGTTCTAGCGGTTCCAGAGGCCACTTGCCCATCCTCAGCGGCCTTTCTGGAGGTCCAAGAGATGGGCTGGGGGAGATGCAGATGAATGCCTTGGTCAAGGATAAAGGTGACATCGCAGACATTCCTGGGGCAGTTGGCATCCCCGAGCCTCAGTTTCCCCTATAGGATTTAGAAAGTTGGACTTGGTGATGTCTGAAGGCCCTTCCTATTTGCCTCTCCTCCTCCCACCACCCCCCTCACATTTTTTTTTTTTTTTTTTTAGCAAGGAACACCCTCAGAGATCCTGAGGGTGCAGCCTCTAGCATGTTTCCAAATATAGGTTCCGAAATATGTATTTTGGCAGGCTTAGGAAACCAGAACCCACTTCCCAAACCCCTGTTTCTGCACCCTCAAAGTGGCTTTAAATGAGGCAGATTTTGAATGTGGCAGCAGAGAGCCGATAGGCACCAACTGTGACTTAAAAAAAGAAATTTGGTACAGAGAGGTAGGACCCAGTAACTTTACATATAGGACCATATATATGAGAGTTCAGTCACATGCCACTCCTACTGCTTGGCAGTTACTTTCCTTCCGTGTCCTAAAAATAAGAGAGGTATACACCCAGAGGCGGGCCACCCAGGAGCGCTCATCCAGCTGTCAATCAGGAAAGTAAGATGTTACACAAAGCTGAGGTGTAATTAAATGTTGGTTTCCTTGCTGAGGAAAACTTTTTTAAAAGTCTGTCTTCAGAATTGTGCCCCTTGGTAAGAAAATGAGAATACGAACATTGCTCACAGATTCTGATACAGCTTCAGC